TGTATTGAGTGTTTAAATTAGCTCTGAAGAAAACTCATTTGAAAAACCAAAACAAACCACAAGCCCTAAGAGGGAAAAAATAACATTATATGAAAACTAACCTCAAAAATGCTTTCTTCTGATTTCTACGGACAATTAGACCACAATTTCAAGTAGTTCAAATCCTTCTTATTACAGCTCCCCTTCCAATCTGGTATTGTCAGCTGCTTCCTCCTAATAGTGACAGCTTTATTTTTTGGCACTAAAAGCTGAAGCCTCCGAAGCATTGCAGTGGTGACATGGAGCTGGCCTGTACAGGTTCACGAGAGCTGATTGTTAAATTTTCAGGAATTTGGTGAGCCAATTAAGAAATTACTAAGTTATCTGACATAGCTAAAATTAAATGTATTGTATTAAAAAAGAATACTCCAAACTTATCACTTCCTATTTATGTTCCTACATTTTACTATTATCAATGTTTTTAGCAGGGTTGAAAACTTTTTCTAGAAAGGGCCAGGTAGTAAATATTTTAGGTTTTCAGTGTCTTCGTCTCAGCCAGTATGCTCTGGCATAGTAATGCAGAGACAATACATAAATGAATCAATGTGGCTGTGTCCCAATAAAACTTTATTTACAAAACCAGGTGACATGCAGATTTTATCCATGGGCCAGTTTGCTGACTGCTGCTCTTGAAGTTATTTATATCTATTGTATTTATGGTAGAAATCCTATATAATTGGTATTCTTATGCACAGCTCTTCCCAACTCTGAGTTCAGTGGTAGATATGGAGAGCTTGAAATGTGGTAGTGGGAGCCTTTATATCACAGAAATCACCAAATGCTATAATTCAGGGATTGGTTTATTATTTTTGATTATCTAGATTTAAAAAGTGATGGAGAAAATTTTTGTAATGCAGATTTAAAAGTATATCATGCCTATAGCTGTATTGTGAATAGTACAACTAATGAGAACATATTCTTTTGGTACTTGAAAACTATCATCCAAATCAGCAAGGACGTCACTCTCGTCACCAACAACTGAGTGAAGGTTCTAACATACTTCTTTGGTTTTTTACTTTCATCTTATTCACAGACTTAAATAAAAATATCAACCAATACTTATATCAGATTGACACCTGTTCGTCAATTTCAATCTTAGGTTGGCCAGGGATAGAAGAATTTGGAAAAATTTAACAAAAGCATTCTGTGAGAATCAAGTGAATATGTGAACTTGTACAATAAGGAATACTAAATATTTTATTATTTGTGAATTATATACTAAACAGCTTTTTTAAACAGTAAAATGTATAATAAAAGTATATATGTGCAAATTTATTTAGAGAGCTGTTAAACATTTACTAGCACAACGATTGTGATAAAAAAGAAGTTACAGATTAATTGGGTAGCAAGACCTAAAACTGTGTGTGTTAGAGAGAGAGAGAGAGAGAGAGAGAGAGAGAGAGAGAGAGAAAGAGAGAGAGAGAGAAAGACCCCCGCCCCCCACCACACACTGAACAGAAACAGCAAAATACACACAAACATTACCGTACAGAAAAGGAGCCTGTTTCCTGGTAAATTTACTTTATAAAAAACTCAGTTGTGTTGGTATCAAGTAGGTTTACAGCTGGAATAAATTACTAACTGGTTCTCTTTGGAATAAATGGCAGATACAGGACTCATTCTAACTCCTTTTTCAAAAGCGACTTTCTGGGGGAACTCACAGCCTTTACTTATGCTGTTCCCTCTCTGTAGAATGCCCAATGTCAAATCCTAACCATTGGTGATGGAGCATTCATTCATTCATCCATTCATTCTTCAAACATTAACTTGGCTCCAATTACATACCCTTCACTGTGCTCCAGATAGAACCACAAACCAAAGGGCTCCTGCCCTCAAGTCAAAGGTCTTGTAGACAGGCAACTGAAATCTCTTCCTTCCCTAGGCCCCAGGGCACTCAAGCCACATTTAACCCTCTCGGTGGTATCAGAGTTTCTAGCCTGCTGCCTGCTGAGTTCCTGAGTTTCTGGTGGGAGGGCAGGGACCAGGATGCTATTCCACTTTAACATCCTGTACCAAGCCAGCCCAGTGCCTTGGCATTTGGCCACTTTCTAATGAATCTGATACAGGAAGCATGGCTCCAGCTTTATAACCTGCGGAGAAGCATCACTCATCCTGGTTTGCAATTTAACTCCAGCAGTTTACCGGCCCAGATAAATACTGACCTCCTACTGGAAGGTGGAAGAAGGATTATTTTAAGTGTATTTATCTTCTTCCGTCCCCAAATTAAAGAAGAGGGTCACTTGAGTGTGTGGGATAATGTTTCTTAACATTTTTAAACTCATGCTCTACCAACCGAGATGTGGTCACACTTTACTTCTGAGGTTTGCACACTGCAGAGCTTACTCTATATAGAATTTTCCATTAATTATGGGTTGTCACACTATGCATCTTACTGAAAAGTGCCCAGTCCTTGCCCTTGTCCCTGCTTAGCTTAAATCATGGGTGTTCAATTTCTTACTCTGAAAATGGCTAATTAGAGGGAAAAACTTTACTTTGCTTTCTAAGGAGTAATTTAATAGTTCCCTCTGTTGATGAGGTCTCCTTTATAGATGAATGTTAGCCAATAAATGTAGATCAGATTAGCAGAATTTGAAAATGATCATTCTACAACCCCCAAAGAAATAACTGATCCAGGCAAAGATCATCAATAAATGCCAAGATGATTCCATAAACGTCCACTTGGTTCTAAAGCATCACCCACTGAATGATGCAGAAGGAATTGCAGAAGGAAAACATATCTGAAATGGAGAGAGGTGGCCACCACCTTACCAAGTGATCAATACCTAATAATGGGCCTCCCTGACATCATGTGCCCCCTGATGAGATGCTTAATGAAGTGCTCAGAATCACCTGGGATGAATTCTTGCCAAGATGCTAAGCCTAAATCTGAGACTTTAGCTCTAACTTCCAGTATAGAGGTAAAATAGGGCATATAAAAAGAAGGTAAGTGACACCATGAGGAAGTGATCAGACAGGTCAGAATGTGAAGCACAGTAAAACCTCGATATAATGGACAAATTAGGGCAAGAGGATGTCTGTTAAAGCCAAAGTCCGTTATATAATATAGCAGGTTTTCCAAATGTGTATGTTAAAAAACTGACGTTAGATTACCTGTTTTTACTTATGTACACATGTTTGTGTAATTAAAATTAAGTATGTATAAAAAATTTAATTAGCCAGGCAAGTGTGGCTCACTGGTTGAGCATTGACCCATGCATCAAGAGGTCGCCGGTTTGACTCCCAGTCAAGGAACATGCCCAGGTTGTTGGCCTGATCCCCAGTAGGGGGCATGCAGGCGGCAGCCAATCTATGTTCTCTCTTATTGATGTTTCTATCTCTTCTTCTCCCTTCCTCTTTTTCTAAAATCAATACATAAAAAATATTAAAAAAGAAAAAAAGAAAAGTTTAATTACTGAGAAAAATTTTCTATATGTATTAGTGTAATTTTAAATTTATACTGAATAGGTCTAGTAAATGCATGCATTCACTAGTCACTGCGAGTAAACAAATGCACACGGCTGGGGTGTGGCTCAACACACGTGGGAACATCTGCGGCACACATGAAAACTGCTGCCACGAGACAACAGAACCAGTTACTGTGTGCAATGCTGTATGATCACATGCCAGTCATTCCCGAACACTATTTACAAGTGTTGACTCTTGGATTTCAATATGTAGACAATAGTTGTAGATACGTAATATTTCCTTATGTCAGCAAAATTGCTACAGTGTTTTGTCCAACATATGGCCTATTCACTAAAATTGTTAAAAATAACAGTGAATTAATAACAAAAATATAACCTGTTAATTTAATTATAAGCATATCTTGGTTAAAAGCATTTTAAAATTAACAGGGTGTTAATTTTCACATATGATATACAGACTGGAAATTTTGTCCATTAAATCCAAAGTCCATTAAATCAAGGCCAGCAAAATTGAGGGTTTACAGCATTTTAAATGATAATGCTTTACGTATATATATATATATACACAAAAATATATGTATACATATATACACACATACAGCGGGTACCATTCTAGATTAAAATTGGCAAAAGAGACATAACAACCAAATGTAATGTATAAACCTTGTTAGGATCCTGGTTATATGTATATATTTTTTAAAAAACAGCTATGAAAAAAGCAGGTAAACACTTTTTTTTTTAGTGAGGGGACAATAGGGGAAATTTGAATAGAAACAAGATATTAGATATTTTTAGGGGATTGCCATTAGTTTTCCGAGAGTGATACTGATATCATATTTTTATTTTTAGGAGATGCATGCTGAAGTAGTTAGGGGTGAAGTGTCACACTATCTTCCAAATGGTTCAGCAAAACATACAGACATATTTATATAAGATGAAGCACTGAGAACGTGAGTAGCTCAAGGTAACCCAATCAGAATGTGTCAAAATGATAAATATTTAGAAGTGAAATGTCATGATGTCAACAACCTAGTTTCAAATGGTACAAAATATATATCCTTATAAGAAGACAAATATGATGAAATGTGAATTAATTTTTAACTCTAAGTGGTATAGATATGAATAACCATGGTATTATTATTTTAATTTTTTTATCTGTGTGAAAACTTTAAAAATTAACATTAAGATGAAGGGGCAAAAAAAAGGGTACAAGGTGGGGTTACCACCAAATCTGAACTGAGAAACTTTAGGCTGCTCAAAGGTGTCTTGTGACTCTGGGCCCAAAATGTAGCACTTTTCCACTGACTTCACTGGCAAAGTAGGAACCCAGGGGAGATCCTGGGGCTGCAACATCCTAAACTGAGCTGGGTCTTTTTGCATTGTGGCTTCAAATATTCACCTGAACAGAAACTTCCAGAGTCCTGCCAGTTCTTAGAACCGCAACAACTTTAAAATATCGGGTGATAGATTCATACTCTGGTCCGGTGGCCCTTGGTTGTCAGTTTTTGTGCACTCTCGACTGAAAACTCCGTTAGGATGAAGCTCGTGAGATCTTTGATGAAATTGAGTCACGAAACTGTAACCATCGAATTAAAGAATGGAACACAGGTCCATGGAACAATCACAGGTGTAGATGTCAGCATGAATACTCATCTTAAAGCTGTGAAAATGACCCTGAAGAACCGAGAACCTGTACAGCTGGAAACACTGAGTATTCGAGGAAATAACATTCGATATTTTATTCTGCCAGATAGCTTACCTCTGGATACACTACTTGTGGATGTTGAACCGAAGGTGAAATCTAAGAAAAGGGAAGCTGTTGCAGGAAGAGGTCGAGGAAGAGGAAGAGGATGTGGCCAGGGCAAAGGAAGAGGGGGTCCTAGGCGATAATATCTCTCAAGATTACTGTTTCAAAGTGATATGCGATTTGGGATATTTTTTTGTACAGGTTTTGTTTGTTTATGTCAGTTTTTAATAAACATAAATGTAGGCCAGCTAGCTGTCTATTGACTATATCATGTTTAGTTTTAATAGTTCATATATATTCATGACATTAGCATAGTGAGAGCTGAGCATTATTACATGGCAGTCCCAGAATTCCATTCGTAGATCAGACTTAATTTTTTTAACTATTTCTTTCATAAATACACACAGTATATACACCTTTTTACTTTACATGTACTGAATATACATTTTGTTTTTTACTTCTTTCTGTGAAACCTACCTACAGGTGGTGAAATAGGTTTTGTTTGTTACTTCAGAAACTCAAGTCCTATGGAATGGGGTCTAAAATTATTTCTCCTTTTCCTGAGTTTTACTCCATGGAAACTTAGATACTTAGTAAAAGGTGATAGTCATCTTCTAATTCAGGAGTCATTAGTTTTGTGTGATAATTTGTTTTTGTTTTTGTTTTTTTTCAATAATTTTTCAATAGGATATAGTTTTCCATTCTCCTGACTTGAAACTTCAGATAACCGTTCACTAGGTCATCAGTTGTAAGCATTGTTGAAATGTGTTATTGTGGAATGTACCTGTCAATGGTACATCTCTTTTATCAAGAACTTTTACAACGAGTTCTTTTAGAATAAAAGGAGCCCTGGCCGTGTGTCTCAGTTGGTTGGTCATCCTCCATGCACCTAGAAGTTGTCAGTTCAATTCCTGGTCAGGGCACATGCCCAAGTTGCAGGCTCTATCCCCAGTAGTGGGAGTTCAAGGGGTAGCCAATTGATGTTTCTTTCTCTCCCTCTCCCTTCCCCTCTCTCTCTCTAAAATCAATAAAAACATATTTTAAAAAATGAAAAAAAATAAATAAAATATCGGGTGATAAATGAAAGAAGGTCATTTCTAGACTGCTTTTATTTATTTATTTATTTATATAATTATTTTATTTTTGTTACAAATGTTTCTCCTTTTTTAAAAAATAAAAATACTTATAAATGTAGAGTTGTGTTTTTTTTTTTAAGCTTTTTTTTTTTTTCTTTATTGATTTTTAGAGAGAAAGGAAGGGAGAGGGAGAGAGAGACAGAAACATCGATGAGAAAGAACATAGATTGGCCACCTCCTGCATGTCCCCCACTGGGGATCAGGCTCACAACCTGGGCATGTGCCCTGACCAGGAATCGAACCAGTGACCTCTTGGTGCATGGGTCAACACTCAATCCCTGGCCACACCAGCCGGGCTATATGTAGAGTTGTTTAAAAGATACGGAGTTTTAATTTTACAAGATGAAGACAGTTCTGGAAATTTACTAGATAACAATATGAGTGTACCTAACACTATTAAAAAGAATAATTACTTAAAAACACTTTGTTTCCTAGGGTAAGGGAAACAAAAGAAAAAATAAATGGCACTACATCAAACTAAAAAGCTTCTGCACAGCAAAGAAACCATCAATAAAATGAAAAGGGAACCTACTGTATGGGAGAACATATTCTCCAATAATACATTTGATAAGGGGTTACTTTCCAAAATATACAAAGACCTCATACAACTCAACACCAAGAAGACAATCCAATTAAAAAGTGGGTAAAGGACCTGAATAGACACTTCTCCAAAAATAACATACAGATAGACAAGAGACATATGAGAAAGTGCTTAAGGTCACTAATCATCAGAGAGATGCAGATTAAAACTACAATGAGGTATCACCTCACACCTACCAGAATGGCTACTATGAATAAATCAACAAACATCAAGTGCTGGCAAGGATATGGAGAAAAAGGAATCCCAATACACTGCTGGTGGAATATAGACTGGTGCAGCCACTATGGAAAACAGTATGGAATTTTCTAAAAAAATTAAAACTGTATCTGCTATTTGACCCAATGATCCCACTTCTGGGAATATATTCTAAGAATCCTGAAACACCAATCAGAAAGAATATATGCACCCCCATGTTCACAGCAGCACTATTTACAATAGCTAAGATCTGGAAACAGCCCAATTGTCCATCAGTAGATAAGTGGATAAAAAAGCTGTGGTACATTTATACAATGGAATATTATGCTGCTGTAAAAAAGAAGCTCTTACGCGTTGTGACAGCATGGATGGACCTGGAGACTATTATGCTAAGCATTTAATAAGCCAGTTGGAGAAAGACAAGTATCACAGATCTCACTTATATGTGGAATCTAAAGAAAAATATAAACTGATGAACAAAATAGGTCTAGAGGCATGGGTACATGGAACAAAGTAACATCTCAGTGGTAAGAGAGTTGGAGGGGATGGGAGGAGATTAACCAAAGATCATATATTCATATATGCATAACCCATGGATATAGATAATAGTGTGGGGAAGGCCTGGGGTGGGTTGGGGTTGGGATAAGGGGGGGGGAAAGGGGAAAATGGGGGACTGCTATAATACTGAAAACAATAAAAAAATATAAATAGGATGGTGACTTTTATGTTATTTATATCTTACCACAATTTAAAAGAAAACAAATGAAATTACAGGTATATCAAGACATATACCTGAAAAATAAATTGGATACCTAGCCAAACTGTAACACACTATCAGTTGAAAATAACTCAGGAAAGAAAAAGGGAAGATATGGTCCCTCACTCCCACTTCTACAAGATTTATAATGCAGTTGTGAAAATAAGACATCAAGTTAACAATGGATTGGTTTCGTCAACAATGAAATGGCCACGGAATGCAAGATTTAGGGTACAGAGTGCATAGTGGGTACAGCCAACAGTACAAGGTCCAGAGGAGGTCCAGGGTGTGCAGCCTGAGAGGCTGGGGAGGGTTTCCTCAGAGAGTAAATGCTGCCTGGGCTCTGCAGAGTGAGGAGCCTTCATTTGAGAGGAAGACACTAGAAGCAGAGGACCCTACAGAGGCAAAGGCCTGAACCGGGAAGGAACATGGCTTGTCCGAAGGGCTGTGCTGTGTGGATTTGAAAGGATGGAGGCACAGAGGCTATGGAATACTGCATTAAATGTGGTTGATGGGGAAGTGATGAAAGGTTTTCACTTGAGGAACAACCTGATAAAAATGTGACTTTTCGGGAGATTAATTTTGAAGTGGTATGTGGGGAAGAGGGAGACAGGGAGACCAATTAAGCAGTTATTATAAAAATCTAGGTAGGCTATGAGGCAGGCTAGCCTGGGGTGGGGATTGAGGGAGTGGAAAGAAATGAGGAGGTGCTGAGAATTGCTCTTAAGACAACAGGGGGAGGGAGGGTAGGAGGAAGAGGAGGAGGACCTTCCTAAAAGAGTGGATAAGGGAAGATACAAAGAAGGCTCTGCAGTTGCACTGGATCTAGTGGTACCTGGTGGTGCAGTAAGGACACCCATGAGGGGCTGTCTGATGCAACACACCAGAGGGCCGAGCAGAGCACTCTGTGGAGAAGAGGTTAGGACTGGAGGCAGATGTGCCAGAATTACCACATGAACCACCGGAGGTGGGAGCAAGGTGCAGGGTCTGACACAGAGCGAACTGAAGGGAGGAGGAGGGCGGAGCTGGGAGGAGCCAGCAGAAGAGGCCAAAAAGTGGGTGTCACACAAACTTTGGTAAAGAAAATATGGTTTTCAAGAAGCCCTAGGGCAGTCTGCTATTTAATAAAAACCCCAAAAAGTACATTTGGAAAGCAAATAGCCTCCTAATCTGTCTGAGGCTGGATTATTGTACGTTGGGTTTGCATAAAACAGGGCAGATCGTTATTTTCAATTGTCTTTGGCTAGTTTGGTCTAAGCCTCTAAAAGTGGCAAGGCTCAGTTAAGTTCCACATTCTCTTTGGGTCTTACCCTGCTTCTGCAAAAGATGGTGAAGAAGGGAACAGAGCCTGAGTCTGGGGACAGGCTAACAGGACTGTCATTGGTGGGTAGGCCACACGAAGCCAACCTCACCCAAATGTGAGCAGTTTCACTTTCCTGGTATTTCCCTTTCTTCCTGCCAGTCTGGGTGGTTGTCATGTGTGAAAGATGCTGCAGCCCACAAGCTCTTGGCCCTCACTAGAAGGATCAACACACCAGCCAGCAGACCAAGGGGTCTGGGGCCTGTCAAAGAAACCCCATACTAATGAGGCAACTGAGTAGGAGAGGGAACAGCACTGAAGAGGAAACACATGTCAAGGGCTTCCCTGGTCTCTGAAACTAGACAGAGAGAGAGAGAGAGAGAGAGAGAGAGAGGAAGAGAGAGACATACACAGACAGACATCAGCTTCTCCAACCCAGTCAGATCATGGAACAGGAAATGCTAAGTGCACTGGTTAATGGAGAGTAGATGAAATCCAAAGTCCTGAACCCAACATGACCACACTCCCCATCAGCATGTGGGAGATGCATTCTGTGTTTTTCTCAGACCTTCCAATCAAAGCATCTTCTTTGTCCTGCCCCTCAGAGCCAGTGACAAGTAGGGCATCACTGTGGCTGAAGAAGGGAAAGATCTTTCACACCCACTTAGCAGGCACATCAACCCATCAAAAGGACACCTCTAAGCTGAGGGTATTGAAAAGCTATTTCCATTCCATCATCCAAAGGAGCACACCCTTCATGAGAATACTAACAATCCCAATGCCAAGAGGGAAACAGAAAAGCAGCCTAGAAGATGTTCAAAGAGGGAAAAAGAGAGATACATCATCACTGTAGATAGATGCCCCTGGAGTTGCTTGGCAACCATCCTTGCTAACACCTTTTCCTAAAAAAGAACAGTTTGAGTCAGCTCCTGAGATTTCCCTGAGGCCGGACTCTGACCCAAAGCTGGGGTCCCCGGATGAGACAGCATTTCACTGAGGAGGAGATCTGGGGCCCCATCAGGAGGCCACTGACTTACACACATGACGGGGAAGAAACTGTAACCATTTTGCTTAAAGAACATGCTTTCCTAGGCAGGGCTAGTACTAGGCTGAGGCAAGTGAGGTGTCCTAGGTGCAATATTTAAGGAGGCCCT